TAACCTTTATCTCTTCGCGGGATGTTCGCGCAGATTATTCGCCGATCGTGCGAAACACTATTGTCCCGTTCGAATAGTTCCATCGCGTAAATATAGTTCTTACGATGAATGAAATCTACGGTTGGCGCGTTTCATTGACCCGTGTAATTTACCACGCTTTACTTCATTAAACGGGACTAGAATAATACAGACCATTCATAGCGTGCCACTATTCAGTACTAGCCATCCGGAATAGCCGACAGCCAATTACGGTGGTATAGTTTTCGTGGAATAATTTATAGCTGCTCGGTGAATGATAAATGTCATTTGTTACATCGAAGAATGGCGCAGAAATGGCGCGAAATGGTTGTCTCGCGAATCGACCCTTGATTCGTCCCTTATAAATTATACCAACCGAATGGCAGGAATAGTGGCGATTCTTCGACGGCGAAAGCGTTTCGTTTGACGGGTGGTCGGTGCACCGCTGCGTTTGATGTATCGGCCAAGCACCGCCCGAGTTCCCGTTAATTCCATTAAAACTTGGACGCATCCGTTCGAAACTATCGACGAAAGTTCCTCGATGGTTTTTATGGTCTTTGGATTGCGCACGAATTTCTCCGGAGTGGGGCGAAGAAAAAGGAATCGGAAGGTGCGGTAACGGCAGTGACGATATCTACCGTCGGCTAGGATCGATAGAATATGATACTTTGTATAATTTATCCAGAGTTAATCCACTTGCGCGCTATAGAGCAGATAATTTAATACGAAATTAACGTAACAGCAATTATAAAATTTAATTATACACATAGGTGGATAACGTCGGCGATTAAAGGTGTTATTAAACGTGATACCGAATCGAGTCGGTATAGCAACGGGAAAGTGATGAAGTTCGACGAGCGAAATATATTCCGCGACGCACGTAACGTGAGATAACTAGGCGGAAAGAAAGTAGAGAGAAAGAAAGGGGGAATTACATCGAACGCCGTCTCGTAATTTGTTCCGCGACCTAATTCGAAGCGGCAGCCACTCGAAGATTTAGCGCGATTTAATCCACCTGTTGGTGAAATAAATCCATCGGGAAGATTCGATTCCGATCCTCGACGCTGCTAACTTTTTGAATTTCGTTCGCCGCGGCGAAGAAAAATCCGGAGGACGGTAAATCTTCGAGCCCCGACAATCACGACAGCTCGAGAAAAGAGCCTCGTTTTTGCCACGGACCGAGAATTGCTTTATCGCCACCGCGTTACGCCGCTCCACCCTCTTCGCTTCGACGACCACGTCTAATCTGCTTCTTCTTCCTCCACGGATTTCTATACAGCCCCGGCTCCACTCCATCGAGCGGGGCACGTTCATCGAAATACCCTCGAAGGCGCCTCTGCTATCGCACCGTGTCACGCGCATTTTCCTCCTAATCGATCCGGAGACCGCGATTAAACCGCGTTTAAAGCCGACTGTCGTCCCTCGTAAATTTTTACGTTTTTACGTTTTACGCGTAACACGTTGCCGGGAAGAGGGGTAATTTGATTGGAGCGGACAGGAAATTTGTTTCGTAACACGGACGTAATTATTTCCCGTAACAAGCTGAAATGTTATATAAGATCTCGCTTTGTCTACTAGAGGCTGCTGCATTCTCCCTTGGCGCCTCGATATTCCTCATACAGAGGACATTCCCTCCGGGAAGGAAGAAATCTTCGATGATCCGGCACTATGTACTACTTACGATAGAACAGAGAGGATCGCTCGATTGTTTCGCTCATCTTGGACGACGACGCGATCCAACGTCGTTTAATTATTCCGCGAAACTTTTGGTTTGACAGAAATAGAATAGCACGACGCGGCGCGGCGCGGCGCGGCGAATCATCGATTCGATGTCTCAAGTTTCTCGTCCGTCTTTCTGTTAGACTCTTGAAGCGTCGCGACTCTCACAATGCGGGACGTAATTACGTTACGTTAATTAATCCGTCGTCCTCTTTGCTCCCTGCTTCTCTGTCGCTACTTTGCCCCTTCTCGTGCCTCGTTTGCCGAATTCTTTCAATTCGAAAGGAACTCCCGATCAGACGGAAATGAGTTACCGTTTGCTCAACATTTCACGGTGAATTTTCGAATACCTTGGTCCGTTC